ACTCCGCAGTTATGCAGGTCTTGGGAACTGAGAGTCGTGGGTGTGGGCATGGGAGTGTATGAATATCTATCAAGCTTTCCTTCCATACATAAGGATGAAGCCCCCTGCTGTCACCTACTGACACCAGGGCCTGTAGCTTGGCCCCCTAAGCCCAGCCCCATAAGGTAGAGATGGCTCCCAGCCAGGGGACAGCAGCCCCATTTTGAGTAATGTCCTGAGTTCAGATTCTGCCACTGCCATTCTGCAAGTCATGTGACCTCTCTCCAGTGCTATTTCCTCACCTGGGAAACAGGGAAAATGATTTCTGCTCAGCCTTCCCCCAAGGAAACTTTTGAGATTCAAGTGTTTAATATCCATGCCCAAGACAGCGTACGTACGCACCCTCTGGCAGGGACCACAACTGCCCCGTTCCCTGCTGTACTCCGAGCTCCAGCCACAGAGTAAACATTCCATAAATATGTGGTGGGTAAATTAATGGTCGGGTGATGGTGAGCTTGGCCCTGCCCTTTCTGGAAAAGTGAAGCAGGAAAGCTCTTCCTGAACCACTGATTTCCCCTGCACATTGCTGCTCTCAGAACGTGGCCCAAGGACTAGCAGCAGCCCCTGGGAACTTAGGGAAATGCAGATTCTCAGGCCGACCCCAGACGTATCAAGTCATAATGTCTGTGGTCAGGGCCCAAGACTGTCTTGCAACGCGCCCTCCATAGGATTGAGATGCCCCCCAAAGTTTGAGAAACATGGCTGTTGGACACCGTGGGGTATGACCTGCTACCCCTTCCATGGGGACGCTCCCACCTACCACAGGGGTACATTGCCCAACCACCCCCACAGCCCTTCCTTGACCTGCCGTGGGCAGGAGAACATGCTTCGGGGGCTGGCAGAGGGAGGCCTCACACCAAAGGTCCCAGGGGCCACTCCGTCCTCACCCCTACAGCCCTCTGCTAATGTCTCTCCCCCCCTCCCTCCTGAGGACCTGAAAGTCAGTGCGAGCTATGGAACCCACAGAAAAGATGAAGCTCTGAGATAAGCACTCATGATAAGAAGAGACACGATAACACTTGTCCTCTCACACGTTCTCGGTAGGATCTGAGCACAGGTTCCTAGAAGCAGTGGTTCACACATGCAAAGAGGGAGGGGAGCAGGTACTGAAGAAGGACAGCTGGCTCTCCAGCAGGTCAAAGTCAAATGCAACCAGGCCAAGTAACAAAGCCTGCACCCGTCCAGGAAAAACCAACAGCCCGTGTCTAGGATCTAGGGGATGGCAGCTGGATCCGGACTGAGGGTCTCAACTTATGGCTGGCCCTTGGGAAGAGGACAGGGACCTGGCCACACTGATAGGAACTGTGGAGTAGGCAGGTGACAAAGGCCCTCAGCTCTCTGTGGGGCAGTCAGCCCTGGGTGCCTGAGGGAGGGCTGGACAGCACGTTCTGGAAGGATTGTAGAGAACCGCTGCTGTCTTTCCCAAAGGCTTACTGTGCTGTCATGAGAAGGACAAGGGGAGGAGCAGAAGGTGTTCCGCTTGGATAAAACACAATTCTGGGAAAGCTACAGGAAAATGGTCTTCAAACACATAAGAGATCTCTGAGAGGAAGAGAGGGCCGCCTGGACGCGTGGGGCCCAGTGAAGGGCAGCCCAGCCAGAGGATACCTCTACCTCATCAGGACCCTGTCCTCACTCCAGCCACACTCCCCAACATCCATTGCCAGCTACCCACCCCACCCCCCGCCACCCTGTCCTTCCACACCCTTGGCTCCCCCTGCTTCCAATCCTGGCTCGGTGACTGGAGAGCAAGAGCGTGGGTGTGACATCAGGAAGCCCCAAATCCCAGTCCTGTCCTCACACCCTGAGTCACCCTGTGCCAGATCACAACCTCTCCCAGCCTCGGATTCCCCGGTCAGGAAAATGGGGATGTTCGCCTCTCACGAGGCACAAGTGATCATTCTCTAGCCCACACCCTGTAAGGTGGCATCCCTTCCCCTGCTCCCTCATTCAGCAAGCGGCGACAAGCCAGGAGCAGCTGCCCGTGATAGCCCTCTGCCCCCGAAACCCCAGGAGAGGGCCTGGCACTTAGCGACTGCCGGTTAGTGCCACCGGCGACCCCAGGACCTGTTCCCTGGCCATCTCCAGTCTCCACGCTGAGCAGAAGACCGTACAGATACAGGCCCCCAACATCTGGAGACTGTCACCCCCCTCACTGCAGCACCCTTGGCAGGATGGAGGGCCAATGCTCGGAGAAGAACACCTGATGCCTATCTTCATGGGCGCGTGGTTTTCCTCAGTCAGCAGATCTCACATAAGCCATGTGGTGCTGATTCGGCAGGCTCTGCCCGCTGTGTGTGGTACGCCGAACCCTAGGTGGCCTGTGGGGCAACGTGGCACCCAGCTCCTCCCAGGGAGTGCACAGACCAGGATCAGTGTGAGGAACAGGGGAGCTAAGCATCCCAGCTTAGTAATCCTAGCACCTCAATGTGTAGCTGTGTGACTTTAGGTGAGCTCCTTAGCTTTTCTGTGCCTCGACTTCCTCAGCCAGATAAGAGGGAGACTTCCTCTTAAGAGTTGTGGCTCTGAGGTCAGACAGCTGGTGTGGATCGCACCTCCCCCATTTATTTGCTGTGCGACCTTTGCAAGCATTCCGGCCTCTCTGTACCTCAGTTTCTTTATCTGTGAAATGGGAGTAATATCAACAGCACCTGCCTCAGAGCGTTTTTATGAGGATTGAATGGGTTTGGAGAGAGAGAGACCTTGAAAGAATGCCTGGCCCAATATTGCTTACCCCAGGGCTTTAGGCTGGGTTCCTCCACAGCCAACTGAGAGACAGGACTTACATGCAAATAGTCTGTTCAGAAAATGACCCCAGCAGGAACCTGTAAGGAAGTGAGAAAGTGAGGCAGGGACCAGGAAGAAGCCAAAAAAGGGTGCATGAATGACCAGCTTGCCTTTGCAGATAACTGGGGCTTGGTCCTGCTGGGGGGCTCTGTGGAGGGTAGAGAACCCTTCAGCAGCCCTTCCCCATGCCCAGGGGCAAGGAAGCTGGGACTATTGCAGTAGAAAGCAAAGGAGTCCCAGCAGTGACTGTCACATCGGGCTTTTCTGAAAAATGCAGGCGTTTCCCCTGGGTCCCTGAACACCACTGATTATGATACTGACACACCAAGCTCAGGAGGGAGTGGAGGGTTCGGGGTCACAATTTGCTCGATGTCTCCACACTGATTCGAAAAATGTCTATAAAACACCTCCCTTCCTCACACCACCCTGGCAGGAATCTGAGACCCCCTTCTGAAGTATTTTAAGCTGGGATACAATCCACCCGGCCTTTGTGAGCAACCCCTCCAGCGGGGAACAGGAGCTCAGGAAGCAGGGAGCAGAGAGTGGCCTGGAGCAGGGCAGCCGCTGAGCAGTGGTATAGAGTCTCTGCCAGCCCTCCTGGTAATGCACAAAGGGCTTGGTTTGGAGTGGCAGGCCGTTCAGGCCTCCAGGCTGCAGCAGAGAATTCAAGGAACCAAGAGATGGGGGCTGGGAGAGCTGAGCAAGGAGGGATCCTAGCTGCTTCTGCAGTGGGAAGCTGAGCTGCTGGGCTCTCCATAGCCCAGGAACAGGAGGAGGGCACTGAGCCTACAGAGGAAGCTTCAGAGAAGGGCCAGAAAGGTGGAGGCTGACCCGTGATTACTACACAGGGGTGCAACTATTTCCGACGACATGAAGGGACAGTGGAGAAGAGGTGCCATCGCCTTACCCTTAGGCAGGCGATTTCAACAGGCTGAACTCATCAGGGTGCCCTTTTGGTACTGTGGCACCAGCCCAGGGGCGAGAGGTATTAAGGGATTCTCAGCCCACTTTTCCGTTCTCCAGGAAACTTTGCCTGGGTTTTTCTCCTCCTCACCTCCTCCTTGATCAGCACTCCAGACATGGGGCGGGGAGCGGGGGGGCGGGCTATCTGACCTCACTCCTGCTCAGTGTCAGTAGCGGAGTGACTCAGCGGGTAGGGGCAGGCATCTCCCCTGAAGATGGGCTAAGGGCCTGGTTTTCTGGCCCACCTTCTTTCTCTGTCCCCTGAACACCATTGGATAGCTTCCCAGGCCCTCTCATAACCCCTCAGTTGGAGAAACAGCAGTTTATGAAAGAAGTCCCTGGGACAGCTGGACAGGGGTCCTGGGATCCCTGAGGGCCATCCCCAAGCAGTTCTAAGAAAACACTGAAAAGCAATGGGATACGGTTGGGCAGCTTCCAAGACATTCTTTCCTTCCTCAGATACATGCTGTGAGTGAATCAAAACTTTCTCCTGGGTCTCACGCAGAGGGGAAAAGGCTGGCTCGCTCACACGCTGGGGCAGGGAGCTCTGTCTTGGTTGAAAAGAAGGTCAGTGATGATTTGATCGCTCTTTCCAGAACTGGGGCTGAATGGTCCAGGACACAAAGATAGTGCATCTTACCAAAGGATAAGCACTTCAGCTTCAGGCATGAATGGTGTAAATGTTGAAAAGAGAGAGCTGTAGATTTGATATTTAAGCGCAGGATGGGAGAAGGGAAGGAAGGCGTTACATGTAACGTATAACTCAAGCCTTAAGAGATTTCCCGCTTCCAGGATTCGCCCGGTAGCATGAACTCAGACAGATAAGAGGACTGTGAGAGAATCACGTTGGATACACTAAGCTTGTGCAGAATTACCCGTATCACCAATGAGAAAACCGAGGCCCAAAGAAAGTTTCCATGGACCTTTTTCCAATCTTCTTCTCTCCCTGAAGTGGGTCCCCCACTCCCTTCCTTTCTCTACTTGCGCACTCTTTTCACCACGGAGAATGAGTTTGCACGAAAGAAAAGCGCAGACCTTAAGCTAGATCTCCCCAGGGAGTAAATGCGCCGCAGCGCTTTGCGCACGCGCTTTGTAAGCCCAGCCGGCTCTCTCTGCCCATCACCAACATGGTCTCCCCGGCAACGGCCCCTCCTCCCTCACGCAGGGCGGCTCCTGACGTCATAGGACCGCGCCGGTCGTCCCCCAGACCGTGGAGGCTGCACGTGGGCTGAAATTGGAAACTTTCAGGACCCGCCATGGATACGCCGCTTAGGCGCAGCCGGAGGCTGGAAGGCCTAAACCCTGAATCCCCCGAGACCCCCAGCTCAGTTTTGCGGGCGAGACGGGCCCTTGTGGAGTTCAAGTCGGACCCGGAAGAGACCAGGGAGCCCGAGTCTCCGAGTGCTCAGCGACCCGGCCTGGGGTCCCCCCGACGTCAGCAGGAGACAAGCCCGGGGTCACCTATTCTACCGCAGGGTGCAGGTCTGGGGGCCCCCGGAAGGGAGCCGGAGCCGGGCCCACCGTCCCTCCAGCGCCAGCAGAACCCAGGCCTGGAGTCACTCCAGACACTTCCGGAGTCGGGTCCAGAACTCCCCGGATTTCAGCCAAAGCCAAGTGGGGAGTCCACAGAGTTCTCCCAGACCCAGGAAAAGCCGGACTCGGAGTTGTCACTGAGTAAGAAGGAGCTGGCCTCGGGGTCTCCCCGACATCAGCTGCGCCCAGGATCCCCTGAGCCTTACCTGGCTGAGCAAGCGCCCGGTCCGGAGCCCTCGCGGCCACTCCAGGAGCCGACAGCCCAGTCACCCGCCTCCCCCCGGGGTCAGCGCAAGCCGAATAAGCCACCTCCGGCCTGGAAGACGGTGCGAAGCAGCCTCGGGGCGCAGAAGAGGACAAGCTCTTCAGCCCAGACCCCAGCGTCCAAGAAGTTGAAGGAGGGGGAGGAGGTTCCTGTAATCCCTATGGGAAAGCCCAAATCGGGGCGGGTGTGGAAGGACCGCTCCAAGAAAAGGTGAAGCTGGGGACAGTTGGGCAGGAGTGTGGTTCTCTGTGGTGTTGGGGCACCAGTGCAACCTGGTGATGCGACCAGGGATGAAGAGAGCTCACATTTGGGGGTGGGGGGGTCTCACACAAACAGGTAATTATAATCAGGATGTGGTAAAATGTTCTGGGATCCCAGGGTGGGTGAGACCAGCCCTCAGAGGTTATTTCTGTGATGCTTTCCTCCTCAGAGTACCTGTGTACCTCTCCTAGAGCACCTCAGTTAGTATTCATTCAACAAGCATTACCTCTGTCTGCCTGCTTTCCAGTGAGGGAAGCAGAAGCAGGTAAACCAGCCGTAACTTGATAAAAAGCAATGAGGTCTTCACCAGCTGGCATCCATCACAGGTATTTGCCCGTGTTAGAAAGTATTATGGAGCACTGAGCGTGTGGAACCCTGCTGAGCTTCTTGGTAAAGGATGGGACAGGGAAAGGCCTTGCAGACAGAGGGACCAGCATGCCTCATGGCATTGAATCTGCACGCATCTCTATGAAGCAGCTGATGCTAGGATTTTACATAAGGGGAACTCAAGGCTATGCAGAGAAATCGGGTTATTAGACAGTAGGACGTCAGGGGTGAAAGCAGAGAGACCAGTAAAGTGGTGGCTGTGGTAGAACTAAGACACATTTGGAAGCCTCAGGTGGTCTTGTGGATAAGGGCCCAAGGCCCATTGAATTGACGTTCGGGGTCTTCGAGGAAGCAGCTTCGGCAGGTGGTGAGCAGAGCCCAGAGACAGTGGACACAGCACCTGCAGTGGGCTGGGAAAGCCCGGCTGCTACCCCCTCTTCCGAGCTCAGGCCAGATGCCACCTGCACAGTGCTCCTCGGGTGTGCCATCTCCCTCCTCTGAAGGCCGGGGTTTACAAGCTCCTCCCCTGTGCAGAGCATTGTGCTAAATGATTTTCCAGCCTTGTATCACCCTCCCACCACCCTTTGGAACAGGAACCATTCTCATTTCTGTTTAATGTGGGAAGTCACTGAAACTCTGGCTCCTTGCCCAAGGTCACCCAAGTAGTAGGAGGCAGATCCCGGCCTTGAAAGCCAGGCCTCTCTGCCCTCAACCTCCGGGTAAAACCGATGCTCTGGCGCTGTGTTGTCCCAATAGCGTAGCCGCCAGCCACAGGTGGCAACTTCAATGTAAGTTGATTAAAATTTAAAAACCTAAAAATTCAATTCCTCCCATCACACCAACCACATCTCAAGTTGCTCAGCTGCCGGTGTGACTAGGGGCTGCCTTACCGGCCAGTGAATAGTGAGCCTTTCCCCAGTCACAGGAAGTTCTGCTTGGCAGTGCTGCTCTTATGAAAATTAGGATGTCCCCCAATATCCTCTCATGCCCAGTACATTTTCACATACCTCCCCACACTGTCCTGGAATGGAACGGGCCACCCCCAGAGGGAGAGAACCCTAGCATTAGTGCCCAAGCTGAGCTTGCTTGGCAGAAGCAGCAGAACCTTATGGAAAGGCTCCATGGTCTGGACTCTGGTGACAGACAGGTTTTGGTTTTGATGGCTGTTCAGGTAGAAGGTGACCTGGGCAGTTAACCTCTTTGAGCCTTGGTTTGCTCCTCTTTAAAATGGGAGGAACAAGAGCACCCATCTTAGGGACACGTAACTAGGGCTTTAGACCTGCAGACCCGGAGGGGTGACTGCCTGGCAAACGGGCAGGGAAGGATGCAATTCTGCCTGGGTTCTGGGGAGGAAGGCCCAGAGGTGAGAGGAGAGTGGGCATGGGCGCCTCCCGCGGACGACACGAGCACCCGTTGTCTCCCTCCAGGTTCTCCCAAATGGTGCAGGACAAGCCCCTGCGCACATCCTGGCAGCGGAAGATGAAGGATCGACAGGAGAGGAAGCTGGCCAAGGACTTCGCCCGGCACCTAGAGGAGGAGAAGGAGAAACGACGGCAGGTGAGGAACCAGCCAGCTGGGCTGAGGCTAGAGCTCAGGGGGCTGAGCCAGTGACTGCTGGAATGGACCTGGGGCAGCGGGGAGCCTGGCCAGAAGCAGTAGTGCCGTCTAGGACCACGAGGTGGGGAAGCCCAGTGTGGCGCCCAGTTTAGCCCAGGGCTCCGTAAGAGACTCAAGGGTGGGAAGGAGCCCCGAACCAAGTCCCCCGCAGTGGCCCTCACTGCTGATGGAAGCATCTGGTGAGGCGGGCTTCAGGGTCGTCAGGTAGGAGAGGTCGTCAGGCTTCAGATAGGAGAGCCTTTTCCCTGGTACTGGTGCCGTCATTCCTCAAGAGACAGCCACCACACATCAGCAAAGTGGATACCGCATACCTTCCTCCAGCTGCCTCCCTGCTGCTGATCCGCAGGTCGGAAATGCCCCATGAGAGGTGCCCCCCCAACCCCCCTTCAGTCTCCAGGACGCCCCAGCAGGCAGCACACAGAGAACCTGGGGTCCTCCGCAACACCCCTTCAGGACTGCGGTTATCAGAGGGATGTCACTTGTCTACTGATCCGAAGGGCACAGGAGGAGTCAGACCCCTCACCCTGAGCCTGGCCACCAAGGGAAGGGGCTGGGCCAGTCAATTCAGTCATCTGTCCCCTGCTTTGAGTCACCCTGTGCAGCTGTAGCCAAGGCCCTGCTGCCTGTGTGGCTGCTGCTGTGTGCGAGTCCTTATCTTACTTCCTGTGTGGCCCTGACTACCTCTTGGGCAAGACAGACTTCTTGTCACCGCCCCCCGGCAGTACCCCCAGACAGGCCCTTCCCCGGACAGGAGCCCAAATCTCACTTCTCCTTTCTCCTCCCCCAGGTGGCCCAGGCCACCCCTTCTCCCCTGAGTCGGGAGAGGCCCCTGACCATGCAGGCACCTCGGAGCCGACACCCACTTGCCCCCCCACCCCAGCCACCCTGGGACAGCAGTCAGCACAGCCAGAGCCACTGGACTCCCCACGCCCAAGACAGACCCCAGTGAATCCATGTTTGAAGTGTGCCCGCTGGGCCAGGTTATCCCCCGAGGCCAGTGTAGGCGTGTGTTTACTTATTCCTCAGGACAGCTCTGTGGAAGCCTCTTCACATTCAAGATGGGGCTTGAGGCCCAGAGAGCTTGTCAGCTCGGCCAAGGTCACTCATTTGGAAGCAGCAGAGTTGGGATTTGAACCAGGGCCAGATAGCCCAGGAGCCTCTTCCCCGTAGCCTCCACTCCCCCCCACCCCCCAGCCCCACACCTTGATGAACCTTAGGAGACCCTGAGAGGGTGGGACTGAGGGAAAGTGCCAGCCTACCCCTTTCCCGCTGGAAGTTGATGAGGGGGATGGTGTAGGGGCTGTCGTGCATGTGCCTGAGTTTCCAGGTGGGGAGACACCTGTGTCTTACCTCCTACCACCCACCATCCTCCTGTCTCAGCCGTAGTCCAGGCCAAGGGCATATTGCCTCACTGGCTCACACCGCCAGCAACAGTCGCACCGGGGCAAGAGGGTCTTTGCTGTCCTTGGGAACTCAGCCAGCTCTCACTCCTCTGAGGCCTACGAGACCAGGGCTGCCCCAATTCCCAGCCTCAGAGCCCCATCGCCTCTGTTACAGGAGAAGAAACAGCGCCGGGCCGAGAACCTGAAACGCCGCCTGGAGAATGAGCGGAGGGCAGAGGTCGTCCAAGTGGTGAGTGTTGCCTTGCTCGGGGGATCTGAACCGTGGCTGGGCTAGGCGCTGTGCTCAAGATGCCTCGCCCCCCCCCCCCCCAACGAGGTGGCCTCCCTGTCCCCAGGGCACAGGGCACAGATGACAGCCATACTAACGCCCTCTCCTTACACCACCCCCAGATCCGAAACCCTGCCAAGCTCAAGCGGGCAAAGAAGAAGCAGCTTCGCTCCATTCAGAAGCGGGACACGCTGGCCCTGCTGCAGAAGCAGCCACCCCAGGGGCCAGCGGCCAAGATCTGAGTGCGCGGCGGCCCAGAGGCCTGCGGCCAGCTGTTGTGTCGGACTCACACTTGTCAGGCCACGGCCCTCCAGCACTAGCGCCATGCCGCTCTGCCCCATGGGGTTTCTGAGCCTTCAAGGGCACACAAGCCCGGAGGAACCCGGGGCCTGGCAGAGACTGGAGGGGGGAAGAGGTTCAGCCCCAACCATGCCTCCTTCCTCCCCTCTCCTCCTCCTTCCTCAAGTGCCTTGCAGCCAAGAAGGGTAAATTCTCTGGTTCCTGGAGCTGACAACTGGAGGGTGACTCCCTAAAATGTGTATTTCTGTCTCAAAGTCATGGGTCCAACCCAGGCCAGGAGGCTGCAGTCAGGAACCAGTTTCCCTCACACCATCCCAAAGGCTCCTTGGGGTGTATCTGCAGCCCACTGGCCCAGTCGCCTGGCCAGCTGAACCTGGCTTCCCCGACTTTTCAACACTGAAAGGTTAAGGAGGTTTCAGGAAGTAAGGTCTGCACCTCCCGCCCCCGCCCCCCAGCTCCCTCTCACCTGTGCCGGACTCTGCAGAAGACCCACAGATCTGATTCACTCACGCCATCCTGTCTGTAACACATTTATTGGATGCCCGCTTTGTATAGGCACAAATGTAGGTACCGGGGAATACAGACAGAGGCCCCAGCCCCCAAGGAGCTTTCATTCTGATAGAAAAAAAAACATAATAAACAGGGAAACAGTATTGAGTTAAACAGTGGGAAGTGCCAAGTGTGAAGCAAGGGGGGCAGGTAGCAGGGAACATGGGGAGGTGTGAGGATGGATGTTGGTTTGGCCAGTGGCGGATCCGTCCAACTGCTGAGCTCCTGCTGTGAGCAAGGCCCGGTGCGGTGATGAACAGTAAGCCGGCCAGCCCAGCCTTCAGGACCCCAGACGCGCTCCCACACTTGACCGACATTCTACTAACCAGTTACCAGCCACAGTTCTGCCCCTGGGGCCAGAGACAGACCCAAGTGCAGTGGTCTTTGTCCTCTAGTGTGTGGTGGGCAGAGGAGAGTTGGATGTGCTGTACGCAGGTCCGACTGAGCCCTCGCTGCTACAGATTGGGACAGTTGCCGAGCTTCTGTGTGGTCGGGAGGTGGGCATTGGAAAGATTTGGGGATTATCAGCATTGCCCAGAGGGCACCCCATGAAATACCAGGGCTGTACAGATGTCAGATTCTTGAAATGTCATACGATGTGGTCTCAGAGGCTGCTGTGTGCAGATAAGACCTTCAGCAGAGATGCCCACTGCACTTGGATTAGCCCAGACCAACCGCTATAGCCCTTGTTCTTTCTACCTTAGAAACCGCTCGGCTGGTGCTGGATGGGTGGGGTAGATACCAGGCCTCTCACAGCCAAGACCTTCAGTTCCTCGGGTATGTTGGGGGCGGAGGGAGTGTTGTTTCACTTACTAGAGGGTAATCGAGCCGCATGATGCTTACTTGTGAGTATGCAGACGCTATACTTGGGTCAAGCGGATAAATCCCATGTATCGAGGCTGTATGGTGGGTAGACTGCGGGATTAGGCAACCAGCTCAATGAGTGTTGGCTGGTGACTACATGGAGAGTTAGACCCGACCAGTACTTCCCAAACTTTTGTTCTCCATTATCTACTCCAAAACGCATCCCTGGTTTCATGGAAAAATACTTCCTTCCCTCCCTTTCCCCTCCTGCCATCTGGTAAAGTTGCGCTCCTGGAAGGGCATCCCCTGCACCCTAGTTTGAGAAATCTTGTGGATTTAACCCCGCCTGGGTCCGCTGACCAGCATCACTGCCCTGCTTCCTGGGAGCTCAGCGGAAATGCGGAATCTCGGCCGGCTCCCTCCCGCTGATGGTCGTGAGGGGAACCGAGTCACCGGAGGTGTTTTACAGGCAGCTCCCTGTCCCGCTTGCCCCCGCCTGCGGGACGCACTCGCGCTGGATCGCCGGCCCCCGGGTCCCCCCATCCCCGCGCCATCTTCTACCCAGATGTGGTGCTCAGCGCCCTGTTCAGGGGGCCCCTCTCGTCCTGGGAGCGGGAGCTGGCCCTCCGCGTGGACTCTGCGCCGCCGCCCTGCACCCAGGCGAGCAGACGCGCGGGCCAGGACACGGGGGGCGCGCGGGGTGCGCGGGGGCCGGAGGAGCGGCGGCGGCGGCTGCTGCCCAGGCCGCCCAGCTCGCTGTCGTCCAGCAGCACGCTCTCCAGCACGCTCCGCAGCGAGCGCCGCAGCTTGTGCAGCACGTCGGGGCAGGTGAGCACGTAGAGCAGCGGGTTGACCACGCTGTTGACGAAGGCCAGGCTGGTGACGAAGGGCAGGCCGCGCCACACGAGCGGCCGCAGCGCGGGGTCGCCGTGCGCGCGCGCCTCCAGCAGGCTGAACACGTGGTAGGGACCCCAGCAGAGCGCGAAGGCCGCCACCACCGCCGTCACCAAGCGCACGAAGCGGCTGGGCCGCCGGCGGCCGCGGTGGCACAGCTGCACGCTCACGACTGCGTGGCTGGAGGCGATGATGGCCAGCGGCACGACGAAGGCCAGCAGGAACTTGCTGACGGCCAGGGCTGCCTGGCGCGAGTTGCACGTGGCATCGCGATCGGGCCCAGGGTTCAGGAGCAGCACGTTGTAGTAGCACATGATGCGGCCGTCCACCCGCTGGATGGTGTCCCGGAACACGAAGTAGGGCACCGTGTTGAGCACCGCCAGGGCCCAGAGCACCAGGCAAACCCGGTGGGCCGCGGCCACCGTGCGGTGGTTCTGTGCCCACACCGGCCGCACCACCTGCAGGCAGCGGTCCAGGCTGATGGCGCTGAGCAGGAAGCCGCTGGCGAACATGTTGAGGAAGAAGATGGAGGAGTGCAGCTTGCAGAAGGTGGTGCCCAGCTCCCACGAGTGGCCCACGGCCAGGAAGTAAGTGAAGAAGGGCAGGGTGGCGGTGGCCAGCAGGTCCGACAGCGCCAGGTGCAGCACCCAGGTGGTGACGACGGTCTGGCGCATGCGGCAGCCCACCACGAAGAGGATGAGTCCGTTCTCCGCCAGGCCAAGCAGCGAGGCCAGCCCGTGCAGCAGCACGGACACGTGGTCCATATAGCGGATGCTCGAGTTGCTGTGGCTTTGGATGCGGCTCATCTGCTCCAGGAGCGGGCAGAGCGGCTTCAGGGTGACGTTGGCTGACATGGTGAGCTCTGCGGTGGAGAGAAGGAGGCGCTGAGGTTGGCTGAGCGGGGGCAGCAGGGGACCCTCCACAGGAGATCTGAACCCTACCGGTGAGTGGGATAGAGGAGCGCCCCCGCCCCCCGCCGGGGATCAGTGAACTTGAGCAGAGACAGTAAGGTGGGGGAATAGAGTCCCAGCTATACGCCCCCTCACTGCAACCTTGCTCGAGCCATTGAACCTTCCTGATCCTGTTTTCTCCTCTGTGATGCGGGTGTCTGCCCTAACAGGACTCCTAGGGCTGTTGGGAGTATTCAGTGAGTTTACATACATAAGCATTTAGAGCAGAGTCCCGGGGTGTGCAGGAAACACTACATACGTCTTATTAATAATCAGGTGTCCCCTGGGGTCACATGGAGAAATGGAAACGAGGCCAGGCCCAGCAGAACTCCTTTTCCCCATTCCCAGAGCACTAGGGCACAAACGAGGTCCCACTTGAAGGGCACCAGGGGTCAGCCGGCCTGGGGAATGGGAGTGGGAGAAGTCTCTGCCTTTAAGGGATGCACCCTCCGCACCCACGGGTGCACCCTCCCATCTTGCCTCTGCAGCCTGTCTGGGTGGCCTTCTGCTCCCACAGCAGTGACAGGTTGGGTGTGTTGACCTTTGACCATGAAGCCAGCCCCTCCTCTGGTAGTTGGAGAGGAAATAAGATAAGAGCAAGGAGAGAGCTGGGCATGAGGAACTACCAGACTGGGGCCCAGTGGGGCTGGAGGACTGTTCCCCTGCCTGGGGGGCAGCCGAGCCCATCTCCCCGCCCCGGGGGAAATCCAGCCGGCTCGTTTGTTTGCTCAGTGATGCACTCATTGGGCAGATGGTTACTCAGGAACTTCTCAGGTAAGGGCTGGGGAAGCCAGCCTCTGGCAGATGTGCAGGCATCCCCAGATGTGCACACCCCCCAGCCTCATAAAAACACCGAGCCCACCTGATATGAAGCTGGTTGAGATGGGTGAGGGCTGAGGGGAAGGGGTGGGAGGCTACCGGCAGGAGGTAAGGGACGGGGAGCAGGAGTTAGAGACTCAGATTCTCCTGGGGCCCCACAACGTGCCCAAGACCGTGATAGGCCCTTTGCATAGGTGCTCTCTTGCTCAGGACTCGAGAAGGAAGGTGCTGGAACTTCACTTCGTCCCATTTTTATGAGGGAGGAAACTGAGGCCCGGGCCACCCACGCAACATGGACAAATGGAGCGGCAGCCGTGTGGTGCTCAGCCTGTTACTTTCCCACACCAGGCAGCTATAAGCAAGCGCCGGGAGGATGGAGGAAGAAGCCCGGGGGTGGGAGGGTGGAGAGGTGGTCTTCAGCACTCACATTTCCAGGGGAAACACTGTTGGCCAGAACGAGAAAACCCAGACTCTTCTCCGGGTACCACGGTTCTTTGTGAGGTGAGGCCCCAGGACATCAAACTAGACTTTTCCAGGCAGCCGAGCCCTTGGAGCTGGGGATCGCAGTTAGGGGAGTAGGGAACAGTTGGGCCTGTGCTCCCCAAGCAGGCTCATGCTTCCTAAGCTTTAGACCTTGCTGAGCAGTCGCACCCACAGTGACCCAGTGAGACCCCATTTTTCAAGAAGAGGATACCGAGGTTCAGAGAAGCCTAACAACGTCTGAGACTCTACCCAACAGACAGATGAGTGCCGTCCCCTCTCTGCAGGGACATTCCCTTCAGTCCAGCAGCCTCTTAGCCAGGTCCCTTAGGGTTGCTCGCAGAGCACAGTCCTGCTACACCCCGCGGATCCATCCACTTTGGGCTTTCTGGCTGCAGGGAGCCAGCGCCCAGCCTCCTGGGATTCTCTGGGAGCCCAGCAGCTAGGGTCCTGCTCTGGTGGGGGTCAGGGGCAGAGAATACAAGCTTTGGGGGTCAGTTGTCCTAAGATTGTGCCTGTAGTCCTACCCCCGACACCCCGCCCCAGACTGCTTGTGAGTATGGAGAGAAGCTTCTGTGGTTTACCACTGCGCCTGACTTCTAGCACCTTCCCATCTGCCAGCAGCTCTTCCCCTCCAGTCTTTGGTAAACCCATCTCTCTGCCTAGTTGTTAGGGGCATCTCCCCTGGCAAATCTGCACCTTCTTTTGTGGGTGCAGAGAGGGCACTGAAGCTGCCCAGCCCCTGGGCCACTTCCCCCTTACCTGGGCACAGGAGGAGCCCGGGATTCCGGCCCTGGAGACAGTCAGCTCCCGGTGGCAGCCTGCCCAGGAGGCAATGAAGCACCGCACAGGGTAGACAGAGGAAGGGGAGTGAGGCTGAGGGAGGAAATGGCTATCCTCCGCCCCAGTGTGTGTGTGTGTGTGTGTTTGCATGCATGTTTAGGGGTGGGGTTGGGGGAGGTGGGGACAGCGGAGGGTGAGTTGTCACACTGGGATTCCAGTAACATTGGTCTCCATTAAGGAGAAAGGGACAAAACTGCTGGCAGCCCCTACCCACCCCCTTCCTGTAAGCCCCGGAGATTTTGCAAGAGCCACGGGTCCCTGCAAGGGCATGGGGGAATGGGAGCATGCCTCTGGGGCTCTGTTTGATGGTGACTGCTGTGTAGGAGAAGTCCATGAAGGGGAGGACATCTCATGCATGGGTCCACAGCCCTGGGCTGCCCTCTCCTGACCCCATAATCCTGAGGCAGGCAGGGCGCCAGCCACAATGGGAAGAGCAGAGCCCAGGCTGCCCGCACAACCCCTCCCCTGGGGTTTGACCATCTGCTAACGCAGCCACTGTGTCCGTCCCAAAGGCTTGGCAGCACGGTGCCTTCACAGAGTGCCAGGTACACAGTAGGTGCTCACAGAAATTAGTCCTTTTCTCCTCCAGGGCAGGGGACAAGGGGGGAGACCACAGGGCAAGGGCAATACAGCTTTTATTTAAAATAGGTGCAGAGGGGCGCCTGGCTGACTCAGTGGGTTAAGCCTCTGTCTTCGGCTCAGGTCGTGATCCCAGGGTGCTGGGATCAAGCCCCGCATCGCATCGGGCTCTCTGCTCAGCAGGAAGCCTGCTTTCCCCTCTTTCTCTCTGCCTGCCTCTCTGCCTACTTGTGATCTGTGTCTGTCAATTAAATAAATAAATAAAATCTTTAAAAAAATAAAATAAAATGGGCACAGAGCCTTACGGTGAGTGGATGAAACTATATGAATTTGCACTTAATGGCTCCCCAAGTCTTTGCCGACCAAGCCTCCCCGGTCAGGAAGCATTCCTTCACACTCAGCATCACAGCACCTAGGAAGGGCTCAGTAGAACATGTTAACAAACTCCCATATCAAGGCAAGTGCCCCCGCTCCCATGGGATTGACTCTACAGGAATCTTCTATTTGGACACAGGCTCCATCACAGGGCCTGGCACGTAATAAACTTGCAAGAAGCCTGCGATCCCAAGTGAAGAATGCCTAAAATACTGCGACCTTGGGATGGAGATGATATTTTTCACTGCAGCCCAAGATGGCAGATCAGTAAGCAGCTTGATTATCCAAATGTTAGTGCTGGGAAGTCTTCTTTCCTGGCGGTCACGGAGCAGCTGATCTTCCAAAGACAAGTGCCTGCAGCCCTCCCTAGAAAACAGGCAGGTGTTGCCATTCTGCTTTGGGGGAAGTCCTCCCATCCCTACCCACCCCCAGCCCCAACCTGATGGCCCATGGACATCGTCCAAGGACATGCAGGCCCGGTTGTGGGAGTGGGGAGCTCAGGGACTCTGCAGCTGGACGGCATTTGGATCAGGCACTGCCATTCCCAAGCTTTGTGACCTTGGGCAAGTAACTTCACAGCAGGAAAGGAGGGTTTTTTAATAGGGACTCCTTCTGCACAAACCCCTGCCTCAAAGTGCAAGGTTTGATGCATAGACTGCTCTTGGGGCAAAGAAGGAATCCCCCCTTCCCTCCTGTAGACACATCTTGGCAGGGGAGTATCAGGCTTGAACCCTCCAGACCTCGGGACCTCAGCCCTCCCTTGCCTCCTCCAGCCCTTGTGCAGTGAACATCCTGCACAACCTCTCATGGTGGCCCTGCTAAGGGGCTTCTTCCCTGAAACCCTCATTCCTCAGACCTTTCCCCCAACCCCTGTTTCCCATCCTGTAATCACTGTAGATGCCCCCCCAACCCTTCCTGAGGACAATTTATGAAAAGTTGCTAAAACAAAAATGTAGTCCCAATGGGCAGGGCCCTGAGACATTTTCTAAAGAAGAAGGCAGTGATGTCTGTTCTTGAGGGGACCCCCCCAACTGTACTCCCACAGTGGAGGCGAACCTCTCTGCACATATTCGCCAGTGCCACAGTCACTAGGCCCGCAGGCGTAGGATGCTGAGACAGGGAGACAAGAGTGTCAGGAAAAAGGAGCCCGCATCTGCCCATCAGAGAGAGCCTTGGGGGTACACGGGAGCAGAGGGAGGCTTAGCTGGGGACTCGCTGGCTGGAAACAGAGGACAGGAGTTTCCAGTGGCCAGGGGTCAAGAGCTCAGGCCAAGTTTAGAAATCAGAGAACCCTTAGGGGAGCCCTCCATGGTGTCAGGCTGGTGTCGCCAGGAGGACACCAAGACTGCCAATGGGCCTTCACAGAGGGGAGAGTCGGGGGGAAGGGGACCGGGGCCTTTGGGAAGGGCCTAAATGCATACAGACCAGTGATTCTCCACCAAGTGCACATCGGGACCTCACAGGGGGGCTGGCTGAACCCAGGCTACTGGGCCTCTACCCCAGCCGGTCAAGGGTGCAGCCTGGGCATTTCCATCAGGTTCCCTGGCAGATCCCCCTGCTGCTGGTTCTGGGCACACAGAGAACGCTGACCTGCTGGAAAGGACAGTTGGGTTGCTTGGGCCTGGGGTGCTCGGAGCAGGGAGCAGCAGGTCTCCCTGGGAGAGCGCACTTAGCTGCGGGGCTTCCCCGAATGCCTCCCCTCCTCTCTGTGGAAGTCCAAGGAGATGGTAAGCCCAGCACTCTGCTCAGAGCCGGCCACAGGCCACCGAGTGACAAGGCAAAAACCAGCTCATCTTTTTTAGTTACTTTTAGTGTGCTGCATTTCCATGTCAACCTCTTCCTGACTCCAGACCCTACATTTGCCTTTGCCACACAAGTATCTGCCAAAATCCTTATTCTGGAAGCAAGTGAAGGCCCTACTGAGAGAGGTGAAGCCCAGAATCCCCAGGAAAGAAAAGTCAACCCCCAGCTCCAGAGTCTAAGTAGGCTTATCCCTTGTCGCTGTCCGCAGTGATGCTGATGCAGACCTCCGTGGGGCAGTGCCTTGCCAGACAGAACGGGAGCCGAGGGAAGGGCGAGGCTTCATCACAGGGTGGTACTCAGTGTCAACCTCAGCTACCCCGGGCAGGGAGACAAATTGGAGCCTAGCAGACCGCCGCTGGGTCTCTGAGGCCCTTGGGAGCCATACTCGGATCCAACACATGGCCCACAAGTGCCTGCACCTTGCCCCTCATCCCCAGCTTCCCCATCCTCTCCACCTACCCCAGTGCCTTTGCATGGCTGCTGCCTGGAAGGCCCTTTTCCCATCACCTGCCTATCCTGCAGGTCCTCTTTCCCAGACCTGAGTGTCTCGGGCTCCCAAGAGGATACCTAGGACATCAGCTGTGTTTAACCAACGGTCCAGGGAATGGGCCCCAAGGGAATGTATCCCCCAGCTTCTCCCCAGTTTTCTCCCTCTGCTCTTGCTTTAGGAAGTAGGTTTCTATTTTCCTTTCTGACATTTTTACAGAAGTTAATCAAAGAGGAAGTGAGACGCATGGCAGGAAACAGGGAGGACCTGCCCTATAGTCCACAAGCTCCCCGACTCGGGAGGCCCTGGCAAAGCCCCCAAGCAGCAGAGCGGCAATGGGACAGGACCTCGTCTTTCCAGCCCGGAGAGGCCCCGTGCTGCTGTGGCACGCTCCTTCTGTCCCTGGCTCTCCAGAGCAGGCGAGACAGGGTGGAAAGCTCACGTAGTGAGGCCCTCGGGCTCACGGCACCCCAGCTAGGTTGCTCTTGCTCTTAATTCCATTCTATAGATTGCAGAATTGAAGCCCCATTTTAACAAGATAAAAATGAAATCGAAAAGGTAAGAGACCAAACAGGTTTAGAAAGAGGCCACGTGGGAAGCCAAGACCTGCAAGTCAGGTCGCTCTGATCTGACCCTCTTTCCTCAGCCATGGAAACCACCGTGGATTCTTTTGCTCTTGTGTCCACGCCAGGCAGGCTCTGCTCTCCCTGCTGTCTGTGGGTCCTCGTATTTGCTCTTCGCAGCAAGCCTACAGGTTAGGTGCTATTACTGGCCCCATTACACAGATGAGAAAATGGAGTCAGCGAGCAGGTAAGTGATTTTTCTAAGGTCTCTGGTGGTGGAGCAGAGGGAGCTGGCGCCCTTTCCAAGCTGGTGAGCTCTGGCACCTGTGGGCTTTTGCAAGAATTGAACTCATAACCCAGGGTTCAGGGCTCCCCCTCCCCAGGACAGTATAGCACAACTTTTCTCAAAGGCATCCTTCTGCCCTTAACCACAAGGAGTTTCCCTTGCTCTTTTCATCTTTCCAGGCCTTGGGAGACACCCCGCCCTCTATCTAATCCCCTCCCCACCATCTTCAGTCCCCACCTGCTTTATAGAGCGGGGGGGGGGTGTCCCTGGGCTCTCGAGCAAGAAGGGAGGATAGAACCCAGGCTCTCGGCTCCTCGGGTTGGGGCTCTCTCCACCACCTGAGCCATCCCCCCTTCCCCTCAGAACATTCTCTCTGCTACAGCAGGAAGCAAGCAGTGTGGAGGGAATGACAGGGGAAGGGAATGGCCACCCCCAGGGTGATGACCAGGACGGTCGCCTACAGGAGTCTCCAAAGGTCTCCCCATCAAGCACTTCCTGTGTCGAAAGACAGACAGCAGAGCGCACCTCACCCCGGTTTTCAAATTTATAAACGCAGTTATGGGACCCACCAGTGAGAGGAGCCTCCAGCTAGAATGCCCTGAGGAGGTTACGGCATCCCTTCTGGGCTCTTCAGGCCTGGGATGGGCTGAATTGTGCCCCCCACTCGTATGTGGAAGCCTGATCCCCCGGAGCCTCAGAATGTGGTCGTATCTGGAGTTGGGGATTTCAGGGGTGATAAGGTTACACGGGCGTGTGACGACGGGCTCTAATCCAAGCTGACAGGTGTCCTTACGAGGAGAGAAAACGTGGACCCACAGAGCCATGAGGAATGAGTGTGCACAGAGGAAAGACCACGTGAGGACACAGGGAGAAGGTAGCCATCTCAAGCCAAGGAGAGCAGCGGCAGAAGAGACGAGGCCCGCTGACACCTTGACCTTGGACTTCCAGCCTC